AAGCATGCCTGAGCTAGGTAGTCACCTCGTTCCCAACCATTCCTACAGCATCCTTTCTGCACCGACAAAACAAAACTCATAGATCCTGCAAAGTTCACTGGCACATCTTAGCCTTTGCACCGCTGTCCTTTCTGCCAAATGTAATCTTCAAAGATGTTCCGCCCACCAAACACTGCTCTTCTGCCTCCTTCCCTGGCAAACTTCTACTCGCTCTGCGTGGCTTACCTGACATCCTACCCACTTTCAAAAAACTTCTTTCCTCACCGTGGACTTAAAAGTATTTGGTACATATTAAATACCAATGAAAAATACATAAAGACAGTTACAAAGTCCTAGTGGGCTCTGGGACCAGTAAGCACAGAATAAAGTAAAGCCAATCATAAAAATGAGGATGACAGTAGCAAGCTCCTGGAGGCCAGGAACTGTGCTTTTGACCTGTTTGCATTCTGTAACGTCACAGTGGTGCTTACTACCTAAAAGACACTTGATAGTCATCTGTTAAGTGGATGAATTAACAGATAAGAATGTTTTCTTTGAAAATCCTGTTTAAAAAATATACAGACATTAACCAGGGACAACTCTATTGTGTTATGAGCACCTTGAAGACCAAAACTCTATCTTTTCCATCTTTGTATTTCCTACAACAGAAGTTCTTTGCTTGATCAAGGTGTACTAAGTTAAAGGTGCCCTCATACAGTTCAGACTGAACAGCAGGCTAGGGGTCACATCTAGGCAACACAGTCATCATCTTTTTTTTTTTTTTATGTGAAGCACTTCTGTGCTTTTTTTTACAATTTGTTGAGTCCTGAGTTGTGCTGAGTATTTATGATGACAATCCTTTAACTAATGGCAATAGAAAATCTTGTTCTAACAAAATATGGTTTCATGACAAGTATCCCCAAAAAAGAAGAAAACATCTGACTCTCATGAAGGCAACATATCTCATTCTGTTTGCACTTCTGAGGAATGAAATTGGTGAGAGAGAGCCCTTGTTGGTGTAATGATGTGAAATGTAACCAGTGCTCCTCAACAAGGCACTGCTTTCCTGACTTCTGCCCTATCACTAGGTACCTTTAAAAAACAATCTCTTACTAGTATGCTGCACACTGGCCCAGCTGTGCAGTTCTAATTGTTGGCCATTTGTTTACAGCACCAGGAAGGTATCGCTGAGCTCCCAGTTTTAAAGACAATCACTTTTTAGTGAGACTAATCACTATGTAATAACTAGCATTCATTTACCCGATGTAATCCATTTGCTGTAAAAATTAAAGAGCCAGTTCTGTAACAAGGCCAACTTGTTATAATGTTACAGGAAATGTACAACAAAGTTAAAAACCTATTTTTCTTATTTACACAAAGATATAGTATGGGATTTCAGGGGCCATGATTAAATAAATGAATTTCTTTTCACACAATATTGTCTCAGATTTTAAATTACCTACAATTAACTTCTTAAATAATTCTGAATGCTAGACCATTAAGAAAAAATTAACTAAAAAAATAAAAACATACACAAAATTTACACACTGGCTTTTTTCACTGCTCTTTCATTATCAAAATTTCCTCAATCTTACTTTCTTTATCTATGGTAGGCCCAACAAGAGTAACTTATTACCAGAACTCTGTCCTAGGTCGCTATTTTGAGGGGGAGTATTTGATATCTTTCCATCTCTGTAGTCGACAATCAGTTGGTAGAGGCTATGTATAAAAAAATGTGATAAATAAATATTACTACTTGAATACTAATATGAAAAACAATTACCAAATGTATTAAATTCTTAGGTTATTTCAGACAATATCACAGGTAATATCAAAACTTCAATTGTCCATATATTTCAAATTTGTGCAATCTACACTTTTAAATTTAGGATGTAGAATTAAAAAAGAAAAAAAAAGGAGGTGAAGTAGTCATGAACTGAGGGCACTACAGCTCAGTAAGTGAACTAGAGCGA